TCTCAAAAAACAACTGCTGATGAGGTTGTAGGGGAAAAAGGAAACTTCTGCATTGTTGGTGGGAATAGAAACTAGTACAACCACTGTGGAAATCAGCTGGAGACTCCTCATGAAAGTAAAAATAGAAATTTCACTGGACAGAGCTATAGTCTTTTCTGGGTATTTTTCCTAAAGAATTAGTCATCATACCAGAGTGAGACACACATACCCATGCTTATAGCAGCACAACTTACAATAGCTAAATCTTGGAAATGGCCTGTATGTCTATCAGGAGAAGATTGGATAAAGAAAATGTGATACACACACACACACACAATGGCTGCCATTCAATCATAGAGATAAGCTTGAGTCTGCAGTACATGGTTCTCTACAGGACATTCAAAATCTAAGCTATTGAAAGGGACAGTAGGTTGACAGGACCCAGGACAGGTTCTTCTTGTCTCTTTCTGTGCCCCGAGAGAAGTGAACCCCAGGCTTTCTTTCCCAAAAGCAGATATCCTTTTCTGTTGTCTCAACAAGAATTCAGGCAACTGAAATTTCATCTGCGTGTCATTAGTGTGCCAAAGTCTCAGGTGAGGCTGCTCTTAGTGAGTTGTGTTCAAAATGTACTGCTCCCATAACCACCCACCCGATAAGCTGGGGTGAAAGAGATTCCGCCAGCTACTTAAGAATTAGGAATTAGCTGGGTATGGTGGAGCCCGCCGGATAGAAGTATCACAAGTTCAAGCCCACCTTGGGCAACTTAGGACTCACTGAGACCCTTTCTCAAAGTGAAAAACAGAAGGGTTAGGGATGGGACTCAGCGTGAAGGCCCCAAGTCTAATCTCCACTTCACACACACTTGGGAACACCATCTTGCTGCCTAAGACCTCTAGGATACTGTCTATTTGACTCTTGTTTTTCTCTACTGCCCTTTAGACTTCTTGTTTATCAGCCCTGTGAAACTATTTTTTAAAAATATTTCGCTTTCATTATAATATAAGTTACAATATTTCTGTATCTGTCACTGTGTTTTCTGAAAGGATTACGTCAAGGGAAATTCAACACCCCTCTCATTATTTGCTTCTCTGCCTGCTCCCTCATCAAAAGACTGGGGCTATTTGATACTTCAGAAGGTTATTTTCCCTGGTAGGGGATGTGTCAAGGGAAGGGGTGCTGGTCCAGAGCCAGGTGATAGGTTCTGTGCCCATTCCTACCGTTGACTCAATAAATGCCCTTGGTCAAGTCACTGAGCCTCTTCTGTGGGCCAGGCTCTGGGGATGAGATCTGCCAGCTGCATCACATGGTTGAACATCATCATCTGGGGTAAAAATAGGAACCAGGTGTCCATGTGGCTCTGCACTGATGAGATAAGGATGTCCAAAAGACCTCAGAAATGTCCTTGAGCTGCAGATTCTGTAATAGGGTCAGGCCACACGAGTGGCCCTCATGCATTTGTCCAGTAGCCTGTGGGATACATTTTCACAGCTGAATTTTTCCAGCCCAAAGAAAGGACTGTTAACCTTCTATTGGAAACCCAAATATCCAGTTCAGTCACCCAAGTATTGTAACAGTTATATTTGTAATCCTATTGAGACGTTATTGGAATGTCAGCCAGTCAATTCCAATCTACCACCACCAATGCAGCCCATGGCGAGAGTAATGACACCACGATATATTCCAAGTTAAGGGCAGCCAAGGGGACCCAAGTCCATTTCCCGTGAGGACATGCAGACAAAGGCCTCAATCCTAGGCCTCTCCCAGCATTTATTATCTTGTGAAGAAAGGGGGGTTGCTCAGAGATGAGTGATAGTCAGGATGTTGGGGATTACTGAGTAACTTGAGCTGGCTGGCCAAGTTCAAGGAAGGCATCTCTGTAATTTGCAGAGATATAGACATGCAGAAGGATCAATATACACAACCTGATGAAGGTAGCAGGGGAATAGTTTTGGGGGCCTGTTGTTTCAGTTTTGGATATGCAAACTCTTGGGCTCTGGGGAATCACAGCCTCTTATCTTGAGGCTCCTACTCAGTTGACATTTGGGGAGCAAAATTACTCTGCAACTCGCCAACTCAATCCTGCAATGTGGAGAGCATCATGCGAGGAAACAGGGCTGTCTGATGGCTATAGACTTTGCACATTAGCACCTCGGCTAGCCTTATTTGCAATGCTTAGAGCCAATTTAAGAGAGAAGGAAATACCCTAGCCAGACTTTTACATATCAGTATGAGGAAATGAGTCCCCAAGTAATCAAAGTCACAGAAATTGTTTTGGATCCAAGGGGAGTCACTGGAGTTGTCTCTCACAACCTTCCACTCCTAAATATTCTGCACTCTCTGTGCCCTTGCCAAAACACTAATCGCTGATCAATATTATCGTGGTCACCTCCTGGAACAAAAGATTCTTGAGGAAGGGAACCGTGCCTGCTTTATCGCTCAGCACTGACTACACACCTGGCAAGTAGAAGTTATGCAAGAAATGTTTGCCAAATGGGCGATGAAGAGTGTGACCTAACCTTGACAGAACATCTGTTTCTGCATCATTGTGGTTATCTGTTCCTGGCATGATGGGGTGGACCTGACTGACCCTATTTCCCCATCCTCTACTTAATGTCATGTTATAATGAGAGCAAACCTCAGTCTGAATGTTGTCACACACATATTTATTAGTAAGAAGATTCAAAAGTGTTTATTCAGCTGGTTCTGTAAAGGCAGCAAGATTCTATTTCTCTGAGCTTTTCGGTACTCTGTCCATTCTTCACGTGAATAGTTCTCTTCTAAGTCACAGAACATTCTAAACATTCTAGAACATTCTAAAGACCGGATGTTAATTAGCATGAGGTAACTGGAATTGTTTGGATTTATGAAACGGAACAAACTTAGAATCTTCTGATGTCATTCTAAGAAGAATAGCTAAGGGCTAGCCAAGAATCTTATACCCAGCTTACGGAAAAGCACAGAACACCTTAGAGTTGTAGCCAATCCACTTGCCTTGAACACTACTAGGTTCACCAGAAGCCCATTTTTAATATCCTTTGTGTTACCTACCAGATCACTAATTTTATCAGTGAAAATTCACTTCTTTTCATTTTGCTTAGCCAAGCTTCTGCTATTAATTCTAAAGAGTTAAATAGTTGTGGCAACCACCTACATAATTACTTCATAGCAACTGATGGAAGTGACAGAAATAGCTGAAACTTTTCAGGAGCAATTTGAAAGCCCTAGAAGGGGCCCTGCTCTTTGAAAAGGAAGATTGTTTCAACTCCATACGGCTTTCATTTTCCCATGTTCGTGCCTGCCCTTAGGGGAGATTTGGCCAATTAGCTGGCTGGCTTTCCCCGACTACCTCAATCTGAGGACTGTAATAGGGTAGTCTGCCTTCTTAATTTCCTTATAACCTTTTTGTCTCTGTTAAGTAATTTCTGGTCCAAAGGGGAAGGTATCAGATGGGCCCAGAACTTTTTTGGTGTTACTGAGAAAGGTTCTTCACTTTTTCCCTTTTCCTGATAAAAACTTACCTTAAGAGCTTATGAGTCAACTTTGATGACTATCTGACGTCATTTCCCCTCCGCCCTCTGTTTATTATCTTCTCTAAATGCTGAGCTAATAATGCTCAGCGGCCCTGCCCTGCCCTGCTGACCGCCCCCCCCCCATAATGACCAGGAACACCGTCCTCATTGCAGGCCGTGATCTTAAGTCATTTATACCACGATTGGTCCACTGACCTTTTATGTTATTTTGGCTAATCCTGTCTCTAGAATTGTATCAGTATTGTACACACACACACAAACTGCCCATTTTATAAGATGAACTTCTGTCCTGAGTATCTGCTTAGCTCTTCAGCTCTCCACTGAAAAGTGGTTTTCTCTCAATGTTAGACCACTTGGAGATCGTGCCTCAGCCTCCTCATTCTTCTCAGTAGGACTGGACCCTACCCCAACATAGGACCCCCGCTCACTGGCTCTCATCACCTGGATCCATGCCTTCTTGTCTGAAGGGCTGCCATGACACCCTTAGGATGTGACATGCAACCTAATTCCTGGGGAGATTGTCCATTTGGTTACCCCTAGAAAACCAAGCCTTACCAACAAGCAGTCCTTAACTCTAATCCTGCCTGGTTGGTTATAGTTTCTTTTCTTTCTCTGGGCTGCATTACTTGCTTGGTGAATTTGCCCTACAGTGTTATTGTGGCATAGTGTTAGTTTTGTACATGTCTCTTTCCATGATAAACAACTCATTCATATTATCTGTCATTCCCATTAACCCTGCTAGGGGCAACCCCACAGAGCAGCCTTACATGGTTATACTTTGGCCTACAAGCCCCTACACCTGACATGAACTGGTTCAGGGTGGACACCTAATCAAAAGGCACCCAATGAATAGTTTGGTCAGCAACTCCTCCCATAAGCTAACATATGGATACATAAACATTGAGCTAATTCCCTTTTCTTTCTTGGTAATTGTAGTGGGAAAATATTAAGAAAAAAACTTTTGATAGGAGCCTAGCAAAAGAATATAATGGTTGATGCTGTGGTGGACCATAACAAACCCCAATCACAAAATACTGAAATTCTGAACAGCCAAAATGATAGAGGAGAGAAAAAGTTTCTTGCAAAGGAAAAAAGAAGCTCAGAGGAGACTGAGTAAGATCAATGATGGTGGCCAGCAGATTAGTGGTGGAAATTACTCTGTCTGCCCATTATTCTGAGAGCAGTAATAGCTTACACTATACAAAACCACCAAAACAGAGGATTCAGCAAAGACCGGGCATCAATCTGTAAACTTGTGCTATTAAGGGCCAGACAGTAGCTATGTTAGAACCTTCCACCTTCATTGAAACTACCCAACTCTGCCACGGTAGCACAGATACCATAGCATAGGCAAGATATAAATAGGTAAGTACGTACTTTTTGCAATAAAACTTTATGGTCACAGAAATTTGAATGTTATATAATTTTGATGTGCATCCAATATTATCCAATTTGTTTTCAGCCACTTGTAAACATAAAAATTGTTCTTACCTTGTATGTTTCGTCAGAGGATGGAAACACGGCTTCAGATGGGAGTCGCTGCTGTCTGCCCCACCTGAGTGCTGGTGACACCAGGCGTGGAAGAGATGCCTGGGCTCAAAGAAGGTTCTCCCAGTGTGGAGACGGTCTGGGTGTCCCTTGCCAGAGTTGAGTCCTGGGGTGAGAGGGTCAGTGTCCTGGAGCCTCATGTCCCCCACGGCACCGGATTAGAGCAACGATGGGCAAGTGCGTGGACAGAAAGGCCTGGAGCTGACTGAGGGGCAGCAGCTTCAAGTGCTGTGAGCACAACATGGTCACGTTCTTGAGGCCTGGGAAGACTGAGAGACGGCTGGGTTCACAGGAGAGACACACCTAGATGCAACAACCACATGCAGGGCCAGGACAGGGTCCCCCAAAGCACACAGAGGATACCCAAAGACCGTGAGGGAGAGGCCCTCCTGCCTCCAGGTTACCCACAGCTGTTGAGGGGTGGGGAGAAAGCGCCCTTTGTTTGCTTGTACTAAGCGTCCGGGAGGACTGTAAGCAAACACTCTGAGCGCCTCCAGTGCCAGGACTAACATGAAGTGGGTTTTCTTGGCAGCAGAATCTGCTCCTTACAGGGCTATTTTCTCTTGAGAAGCGGTCTTTCTGTGTTTTCCAGACTGTCCTCAATCTCCCAGGCTCAGTGATCCTTCTGCCTCTGTCCCCTAACTAGCCAGCATTACAGGTACACCCTACTCGCCCAGCTAAGGACATTTTTTATACACAAAGATGAGTATTTAAAAGCCCTAACTATCTCCTCCTGAAGAACAAGGGGTCTTCCCAGACCAGCTGCAGGAGGTCTGGCACCCAAGGGGCTGGACCTTCTGTCTGAGATAGGTGGCAGCCTAGCCGCCCTTAGTGTGCTGGATGCTTTCTGTGTGGCATGACATCACCCTGGAAATGGGAGCCACTGAAAAGCCTGCGTTCTGCAACTCAGCTTCCAGAAGAGCTCTACGAGCAGGGCAGTGGCCTCAGGGGGTTATTACGGAAAGCTCTCAAACTAGTTGTTTACATTCTGAACTACAGCAAGGCCCGGAAATGATACAGTAGTACATAGTTGTCTGCCACTAACTCCCTTTCATGGGAGGCAACGCCTCTGATTTCCTTACGCCTCAATTTCTTCACCTGCCTTACTATAGTTTTTTTTTGTTTTTTTTTTAGTTCTCTGAGCCCCTCCCTAACAGATTTTTTTCTGATGCTGAAATCCAGTCTGCAGAAACTAGAAGTTATAGTAGAGATGAATTTTATAGAATCACCATAGTTCGGTATCTAAAGGGCAAAATAAAATGCAACTACATACTTCTACAGAACCGAATTTATCAGCCAGGTGTGGTGGCACACTCCTGTAATCCGTGCACTCGGATGGCTGAGGCAGGGGATTGCAAGTTTGAGGTCAGCCTGGGCTCCGTAGCGAATTCAAGGCTGGCTTGGACTACAAAGTGAGACCCTGTCTCAAAAAGTAAAACAAAACAAAACTACTGATTGATTCAAGAGAGTCGATTCTGGACTTTCCCCTTTCCTGGGTCATCTTCTCCCTGGAGGCCATCTCGGGCCCTGTGTGGAGAAACCACAGCACCAGCCAAGCATCCCTGAGGAGTTTTGGCTTGTGACTACTCTTCCACTGGCATCCACTCAGCTGAAACTTGGCACGTTCCATCCCTGTCATCAGGTGCTGGCATCTACCATTTGTGCCCCAAATCCCACCAGGGCCTCCAGGAACCAGGCCTACACATTCTCAGTCTCAGATCCCAGTCTTAGGTCCTTTGGCTCTGCACACCTGCAGCCTGGGCACTCGGGCACATTTGGCCGCTTTCTCTCCCCCTGCTGGGGAACAGGGTGATCTGAGGGATACTGACGTCCTTGGCACTTCACTCAGCCTGTGCTGGGACCTTGCCAGATGAGGACTTCACTTACGCGCTTGCAGAGCCGTGACCCGCCCCAGGCCGTGACCCTCCTGCAGCACCTCGTCCCTACTTGACCAGTACAAGCTTCTGCCCCATCTCTTCAGACTTAAAGCCAACAGTGAGGACCAGGTTTACAACCCTGCCAAACAGTGTGGGAGAGGGTACGGCAGAGGCCAGTAATGTGGGTGGTAAAAGAGTCTGCCAAGATAAAATATAGAAAAGAAACTCGAAGCTGGGCATGGTGGCACACACCTGTATTCCCAGATGGGAAGCCAACGTTCAAGCCTAGCCTGGGCAATTTAATCACTTAGTGAGAATTTATCTCAAAGCTTAAAAGAGCTGCTGAAATGTCTCAGTGCAATTGCATTGGGTTCAATCCCTACTGCCCCCCTCAAAAGAATCAATGAGTGCACTGTGCATGCGAGCAGGAGCAGTGCCATTTTTAAAGCGGAAAACATGACCAAGGGGCCTATAGAGTTGTCCGTAATGCAGCAGTGGAGGAGAATGCAGAATTCACAGGTAACCTGCTTACGGATTGCTTTAATTTGGCTCTTACATGTGTCTCCCAAAGTCCATTTGCCAAAGACCCACATGTGGTACTATTAGGAGGCAGTGGAACATTTAAGAGGTGGATCCTGGGCTGGGGATTTAGCTCAGTGGCTAAATCAGTGCTTGGCAAGCGCAAGGTCATGGGTTCGATCCCTGGTACAAAAAGAAAAAAGAAAAGAAGTGGGTCCTAGTGAGAGGAACTTAGGTCAGTGGAGGGAAGAGGGGTGCCAAAAGGGCTGTCAGGACCTCAGCTTCTGCCTTTATTTCTGGTCATCATGAGGTCATGATGAGGTGACCTCATCATGAGGGATGAGGTCATCATCCCCATCCTTTGCTATGCGTTTGTGCTATGATGTATGGTGCCTCTACAGGCTCAAAGTAATAGGGCCTAGTGACTACAGATAGCTCTGAAACTGTGAACTAAAATAAGCTTTTCTTCATATGAATATCTTGTGTTTTATTATAGTAATGTAAAGCTAACATACCTATAAACTTTATACCATGTAGAGTCAACAGCTCAGATTAATGTGGGATAGATGGGTTATTGAGTGAATTGGTGGCAGACCAATAGAGGAAAAAGATGAAGAAAAATATAATTGAATCTTGCCTATATGCAAAGGAGATTTCTTCAAAGGTAAAGTCATAAAATTAATGGATTGGATAAAAAAATTCTTAAGACTTAAAACTTACAAACCATAGGGCACATTGGTAGAGCTGACTGCACCAGAATGGTTTATGTTAACAAGTGACACCATCATTGAGCAGAGTTTTAAGAGGTGAACAGCAGATTGAGATGTCTAAAAGTGACAAAGTGTTAATAACTAGAGTGCACAATAAACTTTTGATTCTTAATAGAAAAGACAGTCCACCAAAATAAAAATGGGTAAAATATACAGCAGACAGTTTACCAAACAGGAAACTCAAAAACCCAGAAAGAATATGAAATAAATTGCAAATTAATAATCAAAGAAATGGAAATTAAAGCAGTGCTGAGAGATCATCTTGCACTCCAAGGTAGTGTAAAGCTGAAACACAGCTAGTAGCCTGGGAAAGACTAAAAAGTTGAGTAATAACAAGTGCTGGCTAGAGTTTAGGGATAAGAGGTTCCTGCTGCTGGTGGAAGCATAGGTTGGGAAATAATGTCTGGCTCTAGCTAGTCAAACTAAGTACTACAGATGGATCCTTAGGACTTAGTAGTTCCACTTGGAGGTACAAGTCCATTAGAAGTGCTCACACATGTTCATTAGAGGGTTATGTAGGAGCTGGGGTTAAGCCGGGGCTAGGAAGCCTGAAGTTAGTATGATTTAGACAATTCTGCTGTGGCATTGTGATATAATAAGAAACTGCCACTGGTTTCTAGCATACAACTCCTAAACCCCTAGAAGCTCCAAAGCAATCATGTCTTTTTTTTTTTTTAACTAAATGAGGTGTAGCTGATCACTCTAGGTACACTCAGGAAGGGGGATGTTCCCAGCAAAGACCCAGGCATGATTAGAGGCTACTCCCACCAAACCTCCAGAGAGGAGAGAGGGACCAACTGTGAACTGACCGCCAATGACCAGTGGTCAGTTATGACTGCCTAATGAAACCCAAAAGAGTGAGCTTCTGGGTCACGTGGAGGGAGGCGTGGGAGCTTCTGTCCTGTGCATCTTGTCCTGTGCATCTGGGAGGCGTGGGAGCTTCTGTCCTGTGCATCCTGTCCTGTGCATCTCTTCCTTCACACATACCTTGTCCTGTGCATCTCTTCCACCTGGTGTTCATGTGGCCTTTGAAGTTTCTTTTGTAATAAATGGGCAATCGTAAGTAAAATGCTGTTACTGAGTTCTGTGAGCCGTGGTAACAAATTAATCAAACCTGAAGAGAGAGTTGTGGGAACCCCCATTTATAGTCAGCCGATCCATCTGGGCTTGCGATTGGCAGCTGAAGTAGGGACCACCTACCTGTAAGACCCAGCATTCATCCTGTGAGATCTGATGCTATAAGCATACAATGTCAGGAATTAACGGAATCAGAGGACACTCAGCTGGAGAATTGCTTAGTATGTGGATAAATAACCTCCACATGTCTGGTCAAAGAAGCATTTTGTGTTTTGAGATTATAGTAGGTGTTGCAACCTGCACAGCCAGTGGGGTCCTGAGGATGGGTGATGAGAGATTAAGAAAAAACTAAACACACAGGAAAAGGGAAGTTGGGACCAGATGGGCCTTGACCTCTTTGATGGAGAGGTCGTGACAATCCAGCATTGTCTACATCTTTATTGATACATTGTAAAAAGTGAAAGAAACACGCGTGGGGACCAAAAGTGCAAGGTCCCAGTGTTTTGCTGAGAACACTGAAGGCTAAACATTTCAGAGCTTTCCACGCAGTAGTTAACAGGGAAGAACACCAAGACCCCTGCTGAACTGGCTTTGCTCTAGTCCCAACATTTTGTTTACCTGGCTCACATCTGACTCCACATTCTCAGGGCAGGTCTTCCTCTAGCCTCAAATGTGTGGTTGAGCTCCAGGTCAGCCGCTCCTCACAAGTAAGAGCCAAGGAGTTGTTGTTACGGGACTTGTTTAAGAAGAAGAACACAAATTATTAATACAAAATTAGACACAGAGTTTATGTGAGGGCCCCTGCTTATCAGCCTCTTGGTGAATTTGTCCTGTGTATGGGGAGATCGCTGCAATGTTCTATGCTAAATAGAAAGTTGAACAGTTCTAAACCAATTTGATTATCAAGGTCTTAGACTCTTCAGGTAGATAATGATTCCGTTTAATAGCAAAACATTCCCCTAAGCTTAAAAAAAACGTGGGGGCTAGAGATACAGTTCAGAGGTAGAGCATATTCATGGCTTGTGCAAGGCCCTGAACTGGAGACTGAGCACTAATGACAATCTTCCAGAAATGGGACTAAACGGACTGAAAAATCCTCTGTGGCTAATCCTGAAGGCTGCTGGTACTAACATGCAAACAAATCCATGCAGACATAGCCAGGAATCCCCCATGCCTCTGGCACTGCAGAAACTTGTTAAGAGAGAACATTTTGCAATACTTCCCAGTTGTTTGCTCTTAGACATGCCTGTCTACGATGGAAGGTGCTGAACTATGGAGCTATATATGATTTTCTGGGGCCTCTTTGGGTCAGGAAGTCACACTTGAGCAGAGTGCTGAGTTCATCTGCTCCAGCCCTTTTTCCAGTAGGGAACCTCAAAACTATTTCTAACATGGGCAATGGAAGCTGAAAACATTGGTC